GTGTGAGGGAATCAGGGGTTTCACATAAGGAAAGTTAAACGTTCTTGACAAGCTCACATGTGATTAATAGATATTCAACTCCCAAGTCGAGGACACATGAGACACTGAGGCTTAGCCCTGGGACACGGAAATAAATGCACCGAGCTGGGTGACAGGCTCAGATTAGCACAGCTTAAAGAAAAGTTGAGCATCAGCTAAAGAGAAGTTCACCAGGTGACCCTGGGCTGATCAATTCCATCTAGCTGAGCAAAGAAACAACCTGCAGCTTCCAGAGCGGTCATGGGTCAGTGAACCTGACTGACCCTTCTTTTTAATCCTCACCCAGGGATATGGTTTTATTAATTTGAGAGAGAGAGGGAGGGAAGGAGAGAGGGAGGAAAAAAGAGAGAGATTGAGAAACATAGTTCAGTTGTCTCCCTCACACACCCTGACTGGGGATCAAACCTGCAACCTTTTGGTGTACAGGACAACGCTCCAACCAACTGAGCCACTCAGCCAGGGCCCCTTTTTCTCCGATAATTCTATGAGCAGCTTTCAAGGGGAAATTTAATCCTGTCAGCACTTCAGTTAATCCCTGTTACCCAGACATACACCTATGAGGACACACCCCCTCCCTCCTTCTGACTTAGAGAACTCTTACAAAAAGTCAGTTACGCACAGGCATAGCAACACTTAATAGCAAGAACTTTTGCATACGACTTCAGTGCCCTTGGTCACCCTTACTCATTCCCTCTACTCGAGTGGCTGGAGGATAACAGGATGGCCTCCCTCTCCGCAGATGGGAAACATTTAGTGAAATCATCCCTGTGTCTCTACTGGCCAAACTGTGCCCACAGTCCATTCTGGCTGGGGGAGCCTGCTCCCTGGAGAAACAGGAGAATCTCTTTCTTCCTCTCTTCCAGAAGTCCGCTGTGTTAGCTTGAGCTGCCATAACAAAACACCCCATAACAAAACACCCCAGACTATGAGGCTTAAACCAACCACAGAACTTAATTTTCTCACAGTTCTGGAGGCTAGGCAGTCCAAGATAAGGTCTGGCAGGGTTCGGTCTCTGGTGAAGGCTCTCTTCCTGGTTTGCAGAGAGCCGCCTCAGTGGTCCCTTATACTACAGCCACACTGGGGGCCAGGGCTTTAACATACGAACTTGGGGGAGGGTGCACAATTCCCTCCACAGCATCCACATACCAGAAAGATGTTTTGGAGAGATCCCATTGTTTTGTGAACACAACTGCCCTCCCCTATGAGCGGAGGGGGGCATGTGTAGCTGAAATGAAAAGCACTCCCTGGAAAGGCAATGTGGGTCATGTGTTAGGAGCTAAGCTCCCAAACAATAGTGCTCACAGGGATAAAATAATGATCATTGCAGAAAGGGAGGCTAAAAGCTGAGCAGTGGCTATCATTTCATCTTATGCATAAAAAGTGGGGGGGAGGGAAGGCTTCTGTCTCGGGCACCAATTGTGCAGCCTTCGCTGTTGATGTGACTGCTTCGCACCGGTGTATCTCAGTGTTTAGCAGAGGATTCACGTGTATCAGATCCCGCTGGGCTCCACAGCAGCAGGAGCCACCCCAGTCCAGGAGGCTGTTATTATTCATCTGGTGACCTTTCACAAAGTGTGACTTTCCCTTCAGGATTTTTTTTTTTGGTTTTTTTTTTTTTGCAGTGACTGATATTTCCAATAAACTGGGCCTCTTCCCTCGCCCTCGTCCCCACCCCCCCATCAATTGTTGGTATCTGAATGTCGTGAAACTAAAAGCTGTGAAATTAAGCCTGCTGTGCGAGCTATGAAAACGGGGAGCTGAGATGGGACTGGAGGTCCCTCTCATGTAATATCAGT